TCATGCCCGGAGATACTATAAAACATGTGATGTGAGGACAAATCACTTGCTTTTTATGTCTCTTTTTTATTTTTATGTTACACAATTTTATGTTATAGAATATGTGTATTTTAGGTTATAGAATAGGTGATAAAGGATACATTATGTCAAAAAGGTTGAGGGTCCCTATGAGAGATAGATATATGTTAAATGGAACTAAAATATAAGGCAAACCATGGAAGCACCTCTGAGAGGTACAAGTATAAAGGGAGAACAAGGGAAAGAGAGGTTATTGGCCATGGGGGATCTGGAAAGATCCATGGAAAAAGGAAAATGTGAGCAGGCAGTGACTGGTGGCCTCTGTTAGAAGAACTCCAGAGATGTGGGGCTCGGGACCTGATGCCTCCAATGATGACCATTCCTTTTGGCATGACTTTGATTTTTATCAAGTTCTTGTTGATGTTCTTTCTGTATCTCCCCTGCAATGGCTCTTGTTCTGGGAAATTCCAGTAGGTAGAGAATGATAAATCCCTAGCCCAAGTAGTATCTTTTCCAGAATCTTACAACTGTGGTCTCTGTAATACTCTCTGGTTAATCTCTTCTTCAAGCTAATCTCCCCACTTGCTCCAAATGTTTCTCATATCACTTGGTTTCGAATTCCCTCACCATCTGGGTCATTTTCCTCCAAAGATGTTCCAATTTGTCAGTGGCCTTTTAAAAGTGTGATACATAGCATTAAATGTGATTTCCAGAGCTGAAACATGGAACTGTGTTTCCTCATATTCCAAAAGGGGGAAGTGTTATCGCTCCACACAGTGAGATCAGGATGGAGAAGGGAGCAGGGGAGGATCTGTCTTAACCATCACTGTACTGCCAATACTGAAAAATTTCCTTTTTTATTTAAGCAGGTTAAATCTGAATTTTTAAACCTGCAACTACAGTTCTGATTTCTGGGTCTTTTAGTCATAGTTTTTGTTTTGAGGATTAAATGAAAATGTGGGTCTTGTTAAAAGACAGTAACAATTATCTTTTTAAAAATGTTTATTTATTTTGAGAGGGAGGAAGAGAGTGAGCCAGTGCTCGCATGCACAGGGGAGGAGCAGAGAGAGAGGGAGAGAGAGAACCCCAAGCAGGCTCACTGTCAGTGCTGAGCCCAACACAGGGCTCGATCCACAAACAGTGAGATCAGGACCTGAGCTGACATCAAGTCACATGCTTAACCAACTGAGCCACCCAGCTGCCCCAACACTAACAATTATTTTTATTTGCTAATAGCATGTGCTTACTGTCATTGTATAGTAACTTCTTATCTGAAGACTTTTTTCTCTCAAGAGACTGGGCTGTGCCCGCATCCCAAGTTAATCTAACCAAGACTGGCAGGTACACCACCTTTTCTAGGAGCTTGGCTCATAAAATGGAGTTAGTATTTCTGGCTTATTTTTTTTTTTATTTTTCATTTTATTTATTTTTTTATTTCTGAGAGAGACAGAGACAGTGTGAGCAGGGGAGGGGCAGAGAGAGAGGGAGATACAGAATCTGAAGCAGGCTCCAGGCTCTCAGCTGGCTGTCAGCAGAGCCCGACACGGAGCTTGAACCCACGAACTGTGAGACCGTGACCTGAGCCAAAGTCGGACGCTTAACCGACTGAGCCACCCAGGCACCCCAGTATTTCTGGCTTAAAGATGGATCTGATGTGTGTGTGGAAAGTTCCTGAATTCCTGTGTGTCCAGTGAGCCTCAGCTTGAGCCCCGCCATATGGATAATTGCATCTAGGCTCCTGATTGTTTCATCCCATTCTGGCCTGAGACAGAAATCCTGCAGTAACCTGACTGGCTCCTGAGAACAGGCTGTCCCCTGGGGCTGAAACAGAGTCCCAGTTCTTCTCCCCATTCTAGATGCTACAGACACTTGAACCACTGTGACACCATCTATTGGTCTGAAACTTTGGAAGCCACAGTGAAACTCTACAAAGACATCACTGGAGCATAAATACTAGCTTGTTATCCACCATGAATGTGATGGCCTCACGTGACTGACCAAGAAATAAGGGGCAGATGAGCCTTGGAAGTCTAAGCACTCTATATACTTCTACTGGCTGCTCAAGTTCCAACATGCTTTTGTAGCTGAACAAGACCAGCTCGAAGGTAAACCATGAGAACAGGGATGTCTGTCATCTGGTAGCTGATGTATCCCACTCCCTTAGAATAGTGCTTAGCACATAACAGGTGCTTACAAATGGTAGACATCTAGCTTTGTTTTGCCCAGCAATCCCTTCTTTGGAGAACTGCTTTTTCCGTACTCCACATTATTCTGATGGAGCTCCCAATCATGAGATGGAACAAGCTAGGAAATCATGTCATAAATCTGGAGCTCATTAATCTGCATGTCCCTAGTTCCTAGATTCCCTGCATTTAAGCAGGTATCTGCACTCCTTACTTCTGGAGAATCCGAGGCATAATGTCAAAAGGGTTGATGAATGTAGGTGGTACATTCTGTAAGTACATCATTCAGAGACTAAACTTTATACGAATGTTCATCACGAAACCCAAGCCAACGATGTAATACCAGTACCAGAATATATCTTATTCACATTCAGGTAAATTGTAGATAAAATGTTTTCAAATTTCTGATAGGTGAAATACAATTTTTATAACATCAGCTTTACTATAATAATATTATTTAAGGTTCCTCAGAAAAAAATGTAATCTGTGAAATATGAAAATAAAATACATACTGGATTAAAACAGTCCAACAAATGGGGGTGGGGGACAGGAAAGTTGTGGTTGTTTAAGGCTTTTTAAAAATTGTGGTAAAATATATATACCATAAAATTTACCCTCTTATCCATTTTTAAGTGTACAGCTCATCAGCGTTGAGTATACTTACAGCGTTGTGCAACCAACACCACTAACCACCTCCAGAGCTTTTTCATCATATAAATGAAAACTCTGTGCTCATTAAACAAAAATTCCCCTTCCCCCCCTCTTTCCAGCTCTGGGTAATTGCTATATTTTCTGTTTCTATGAATTTGCCTATTCTAGGCAAATCAACTAGAATTATATAATTATATTGGAATTATAAGTTACACAATATTTCCCTTTCTGTCTAGCTTACGTCATTTAGCACACGTTTTCAAGGTTTCTAGATATTGTAGCATGTGTTACGATTTCATTCCTCTTTATGGCTAAATAATACTCCATTATATGTATATACCACATTTTATTATCCACTTATTTGTTGACAGACACTTGGATTGTTTTCACCTTTTGGCTATTGTGCTATGAACACTGGTGTACAAGTATCTGATTCAGTTCCTGCTTTCAATTATTTTGGGTATACTTAGAAGTGAAATTGGGTGGATCACACAGTAATTCTATGTGTAACATTTTGAGGAACCTGTATAAAGCTTTTCAAAATGACTTATGAAGGAAAAATGTATTAACTTAGGAACTGTATAAGCAATAAGTTATTCTTTATCATATCATTACTGGAGACAGAGTGTTGTATCAAATAGAACAGAGGATACATCATTTCCTTGTAGTAAAGGAGGGAACAGGAATTTCCAAGTAACTACAAGTCCCTACAAAAGTAAGAAGTCAAAATAACTGCAACTTCCTAAAATGTAAGTTTTAAGTTTTCTAAAGACTGTATTTCATGTCTTTACACACATGAAATACAGTCTTTAGAAAACTTAAAACTTGCATTCCTAAATTGTGTAAGAATAAATCCCAGGATGTGACCATACAACTGTAGTCTCTTTTGTATGCAAAATAACAGATCAGTACCTGTCTAAAGTGCAAAGGTTAGAAAAGACAATGAAAACTGAAGAAAGTAGGGAACTAAGGAGCTCTCATGTTGGATCTGGAACAGAAAAAGGACAATGGTGAAAAAACTGGTAAAATTCAAATAAAGGCTATTATTAATAGTGCTGTATACCAGTGTTAATATCTTCGTTGTGGTAACTGTACTATGGTTACATAAGGTGTTAACACTAGAAGCTGGATAAATGATACAGGAATTCTCTACTATTTTTGCAACTTTTGTATGAATTTTAAATGATTCCAAAATAAAAGCTAAAAAAGAACTATAGTCTCTGGACTTTAGTGGACACCTGAAAGTGTTAAGCCAGATAATCAGAAATAGCAATAATAATTGAAGTTGTACATCTCTTCCTTGAAAGAGCCTTCAATATTCACAAAGAGGAGAAAAGACAGTAATTTTATAGTTAGTGCCTCCAATAACCAATTTCCTCTTGCCACCTATTGCCATCTTGGCCTTATATTTCTTCCTCCTAGATCCATCCACCCAACCCTTTTAACTCAGACTTTATATAAGAAGGCTCTCCCAAAATTTATGTCTTCTTAACCATCCCTTTCAACTGTTGCTAAATCAGTTTATAGTCCAGATTGTTCTCTGAGCTTTGACAGTACAGCCACTGGCCTACTGGACATCCCCATTTCCAAAGGCAGCTGAAGTTCGCATGTATCTAAAGCTAATCCTTCATTTTGCTCACTTACCCAAGTTAGAAATGTAGGACTCAGCTTAGACTTGTCCTCAATCACCCCATCCCTACTCCCAAGAGCAGACTGACCATCCTACCATGGTCTATACTGTAGTATAACACCCAATATCTTCCATTCACTAAAGTATAAAGTTAAAATCCAGCCATTTTTATCACTGATAGACATAGTGACTTCGTACCCTAAAAAGCCCAAAGACATTGTAGAAAGCAGTAACTTGTAAATTCAGAAAATCTTCAATGTTGAAAATGCATTTTTTTTTAAAATGTTTTATTTATTTATTTCTAGGAGAGAGAGAGACAGCATGAACAGGGGAGGGTCAGAGAGGGAATGACAGACTCTGAAATAGGCTCCAGGCTCTGAGCTGGCAGTCAGCACAGAGCCCAACGCGGGGCTCGAACCCACGAACTGCGAGATCATGACCTGAGCGAAAGTCGGACGCTTAACCGACTAAGCCACCCGGGTGCCCCGAAAATGCATTTTTTCTTAAAAGAGGAAGTTATTTGCTTTGACAACACATATGCCAGAACTGGAATGATACAGAGATTAGTATGGCCCTTGTGCATGGATGACACGCAAATTTATGAAGCACACTTTTATTTTTTTTAAGAGAACAAGCACACGCAGTGGAGAGAAAGTGAGAGAGACTCTTAAGCAGGTTCCACACTCAGAGCAGAGCCCAACTCGTGGGGTTTGATCCATTACCCTGAGATCATGATCTGAGCCAAAATCAAGAGTTGGACACTTAACTGACTGAGACACCTGAATGTCCCTAAAGTATACCATATTTTTAAGGTACCATACCAATTTTCTACAATCTTTGTCAGAGGATAGAAGTAGAAGGAATACTTCCTAATTCATTCTAGTATACCAGAATTACCCTAATATTAAAACCAGACAAAGACATTACAAGAAAACTACAAACCAGTATCTTTCACAAAGATGCAAAAATCCTCAATAAAAATATTAGCAAATCAAATCCAACAATGTTTAAGAATAATTATATACCATAATCGAGTGGGACTTATCCCATGTATGCAAGGTGGGTTCAGCATTCAAAAACCAACTGATGTATCACATCAACAGGTTAAAGAAGAAATATCAAGTGATTATATCAATACATGAAGGAAAAGCATTTGACAAAATCCAATACCTATTTGTGATAAAAGCTTTTAGTAAACTAGGAAGAGATGAAAACTTCCTCAATCTGATAAAGAATATTTATAGAAAACCCACAGCTAACATACTTAATGGTGAGAAGCTTTCCCACTAAGATCAGACACAAAGCAGGGATGCCCCCTTTGATCACTCTATTTCAACACTGTACTAGAAGTCCTAGCCAGCGTAATAAGATAAAGAAATAAAAGGTGTACTGATTAAGAAGGAAGAAATAAAACTGTCTTTGTTTGTAGATGGCATGATCATCTATGTAGAATATCTGAAAGAATTGACCAAAAAATTCCTATAATAAGTGATTGTAGCAAGAATATAAGGTTAATATATAAAAGTCAGTCACTTTCCTACTAAACATTGACTTTTGATGTTAAATACATATTACCATTTACATTAGCACCCTAATGTGCTTAGGTATTAAGCACATTATAATGAAATACTTAGGAAAAAAATCTAACAAAACGGTGAGATCTGTCTATATGAAGAAAACTACAAAACTCAGATGAAAAAAATCAAAGAACTAAATAAATAGAGATATTCTACGTTCGTATATAGGAAAAGCCAATATTGTCAAGATATCAGTTCTTCTCAATTTGATCTACAGATTCAAAGTAATCCCAGTCAAAATCTCAGCAAGTTATCTTATATAGATTTCAACAAACTAATTTTAAAGTTTAAATAGAGAGGCAAAAGACAGAGAGTAGCCAACACAATACTGAAGAAGAACAAAGTTGGAGGACTAATACTACCTAACTTGAAGACTGACTATAAAACACTAATCAAGACAGTGTGGTAGTGGTGAAAGAATAGACACACAGATTAAAAGAATAGAACAGACAGCCAGAAATACAATTAACTGATATCTGACAAAAGAGAAAAAGCAACACAATGGAGCAAAGATATTCTTTTCAACAACTGGATATCCACATGCAAAAAAAAGAACCTCAACACAGACTCTACACCCTTCACAAAACTAACTCAAAACGTATTACAGATCTAAATGTAAAATGCAAAACTATGAAATTCCTAGAAGATAACATAGGAGAAAATCTAGATGACTTTGTTTTCAGAGACAGTACCAAAGGCATGATCCATGAGAGAAATAACTGATATGCTGGACTTCAATAAAATAAAAAATTTTTCTTCTTCAAAAGACATTGTCAAGAGAATGAAAAAACAAGCCACAGACTGGGAGAAAATATTTACAAAAGATCTATCTGGAAGAGGACTGGTATCCAAAAAAAAAAAAAAAAGTTTTAAAACTTAACGGTAAGAAAATGAGCAAACCAATTAAGAAATGGACAAAAGATCTTTTTTTTTTATATATATATTTTTTTATTTTATTTTTTAAATGTTTTATTTATTTCTAGGAGAGAGAGAGAGAGAGACAGTGTGAGCAGGGGAGGGTCAGAGAGAGAGGGAGTCACAGACTGAAACAGGCTCCAGGCTCTGAGCTGGCAGTCAGCACAGAGGCCGACGCGGGGCTCGAACCCACAAACCGCGAGATCATGACCTAAGTGAAAGTTGGACGCTTAACCGACTAAGCCACCCAGGTGCCCCAGAAATGGACAAAAGATCTTAACAGATACTTCATCAAAGAAGATAAGCAGAAGGCAAACAAGCATATGACAAGATGCTCCACATCATATGTCATTAGGGAAATGCAAACTAAAACAACAAAATACCCTAAGAATGGGTACATGCCCCTAAGAAGTATTAAAAAGCAGGGCACAGAAGATGTTTAAGGCAGTGAAAGTATCTTGTATGAAATCACAATGCTGGATATATGTCATTATACAGTTGTCAACACCTACAGAATGTATAACACCAAGAGTGAAAGATAATGTTAACTATGGACTATAGGTGACAATGATGTGCCAGTGGAGATTCATCAGTTGTGACACATGTACCACTCTGGTGGGGGATGCTGACAATGGAAGAAACTATGCATATGTAGGGGCAGAGGAAATATGGGACATCTCTGTGCCTCCTGCTGAATTTTGCTATAAACTTAAAATTGCTCTACAAGTTTATTTTAAAAAGTGAGAGAAATAAACAAGTATACTAATATATCTATTAGCCATGTGATTACCTACTTGTGTATTATAGATTTAGAAACTACCACAGGGATGAGTTAGTGCTTTTTGCTATTCCTAAGTTCTACAAAGAAAGAAAATTTCTTGTTGACTGGAAGGCAAAAAAAAAAAAAAAAATCAGAATATTATTCCATATTTAGTGAAAAGTTGTATGAATCTGGAAGACAGAATTCCAATTCCAACAGGGCCTAGCAGAAATAAAAACAAGCAAAGTTCTTCATTGTATAAACAATGAAATTGAGTAAAGTACAAGGAATTGTTTTGACCATATATTTAGAATACTGTGTGCTGATCTGGCTGCCCTATGATCAGAAAGCCGACTTAGAAAAGAATGAGGGATGGTGGGCGTATCTGAATTAGCCTAGAAACCTAAATATCCTAATCACTTCCATATAAAACAGGATTAAGATTCTTTATCATTCCTTATTATTGAAATTCAAAAACTAAATTTGATTATTCAGTCTTCACTTTTAATGAATCAAAGTGATAAAAAGTAAAAATAATGAAAACATTTAACCAAACTTAATTATTGTTTCATCATATGAACTTTCATGTAAACATGATTTGGATCTTTTGGTGAATGTCATGGTAACCCCAAATCTCTAGTTTAGGGAAATAATACCATTCAACTCAATCAGAAGTGGAGTTGGAACTAAACTTTTATGAACTATTTTACAGTCATTTTCTCTTATTAGAGTAAGGTACGCTGTTATTGTAGTAGAGGTCAGTAAGGTTTTGCTGCTCATTAAGATAATAATTAGTTCTCCATGTTGGTTACTACGACAAACAAATGCCAGAGATGCTGGTTCCCAAGGCTGGGTTAGGAGAGTTAGGGAATGTTTGGAGGTACCTCTAATCAGACAATGTTCTGCAAGTTAGTCACACACTACATCTCATACACTGGCTCCCCCTCTTGAGAACATCTGTGCTTCAGAGCCGACAGGGCCTGTTCCAAACAGCCCTGCTTTGGTGGACTTTCCTGGTACATCACTTTAGAATCAAGAATCAAAGACTCTTAAAGCTGGAAGGAAACTTAAAGATCAAAAATGGCATCACAGGAAAAAGTATAATCTGGTAAGATGTTGTTAAACCCCTTCTTGTGTCTGCAACATTGATTAAATAACAAAACGAAATAAAACAAACAATTCAGAAGAATCTTTCCCTTTTATTACAGATATCAGGGTTGCTTTATGTGTAAATATAGAATTGTCTTATTTTCCCAGTGCAGGATAAAGAGCAGGCTATATTTGAACCTGACCAAAACCTATTGTTTATTCACAATTTATCCTAACCCTTCATTTCTTCTGATGGAAGTAATTTTCCTGTGCTTTGTAATAAAAACACAGCAACCAGACCTGGATGTTTACAGTGTTTTGCCAACAACTAAAGCAAACAATCTCCCAAATCTGAACTGGCTGTGTAGACAAAAGAAATCAAATAATTACCTCAGAGTTCCAAAACCAACTTATTGGTCTAATGAGGGCTAGACTCCAACTTGGACACTTAACTGTTTTCAGGTCCCTAGTGAGATAAATGTTTTAGCATGTATTTTTAGCCAGGAGTTATTTTTACTTTAATAGCACTGCTTTTAAATAACTTTTCCTTAAAAAAAAAAAAACTCAAAAACCAAAAAGCAAAACAAAAAACTCTCCAACATTTCTAACTTTACTATTCTTTAATTGAATTATGTGATTCGATTATGAAGCAATGGTTAGTTTATTTTACCTAACTTTTATCATTTTGCGTTTAGAATCATTCTCAGAAATCCAAATTGGCTGATTACCGAACAAGTCCTAATTATTCCCCAGCGACTGTGGGAGCCTGGACTTTTAGGATTGTTCACTGTTTGGCTGGGAAACAGGCTTCTTCTTGTAGTACCCGATCTGCTGTTGATTTAAAGACTGACTTAAACGGCTATTTGTTCTGGGTTCTTTGAAGTACATTTGCTGCTCCTGCCTTCTGGAACTATTCTGACAGACATCCTGAAGTCTCATGCCATATTCTTCACTAGGTGGTTTGCGCAGCCGGGAATACTGGCATAACGGCTTATTAACCTGCTCTCACCTGCAAAAGAGGGTCTGGGATTTAAAACACCTCCAAATAATCCCACTGATGTTTCTGTCTAGAATCCTGAGGGAAGTCAGCCAGTTCAGTCCCCAGTCCGCATGATCCCTCCTTCCTAGCCTTGCACTTGGGGCCATGCCCGTCTCCTAAATTCTATACCCCAAAGCATAAATTCCCCCCATGTCTCATTGTCATCTCTGTCATCCACGGTGTCCAGCTCACAGCAGTTATTTGATGAAAAATAGTAACAAGTTTGTGAATAATTTATTT